TATTATTTAAAAACTTAATAATGTGTAGTTTTTCATGTAGGCATAAATAGCATGGGTCATCCCAAGTTTTACAAGTTCTAGTTTTGTTTATAATTTTGCATTTTACTTTTGGTGTTTTATTCATTTCCTTCAAATGCCCAAAATATTTAGATAGAGATGTCTGATTTCTTTTATTTATATTGTTGAAGGAGCACTTATACTGCCTCCATCTGGTTTTAAATTCATTCTTCGTAGATCCAATGTATATCATATTAGTATTAGGACTCTCAATGGGTGAGATAGTACATTGGTATACCACAGATTTTATGCAGCATATATTTTCCAATGGGCAGTCTTCTGGGTTTCTACAATCACATAATTTTTCACTATTTTTGTCTAATTTAAGTGTAGGGTTTTTATTAATACTATTCTGGTATGGGGGTTTGTTCAGGATTTTATTATACAGGGTGTTTCAAAAAATTTGATATCCTTTGAGATGTAAATATCACAGAAAATACATGATTAAGGCAAATGAAATTAAAAAGTATTAATGTTGAAGATCATAAGATTTATTCTTCCAAATCTGAATGAGAAATTCAAAAGCATGTGGATTATGTGAACGATTTCACAAATGTGAAGTTTGTGGTCGTCCGGATCCTTTGCTCTGCACAGACAGCCTTCCTCTTTGAACTTTTTTATGCCATCTCCAAATCTGCATTCCTGTTGGTGACTTTCTATAGAACTCTCTCATAAATGCACGCTGCACAGTCTTGTTTGACTGTGTTCTAGCAAACTCCAACACACAAAACCCCTTTTCTCTTCTAGTAAATAGCATTTTTATATCTGTAAAGAAAAAGATTAATGAACATAAAAATACAAATAAGAAAAACACAAAAACATAAAGACATAAAAAACATAAAACAAACATTAAACATAAAGATGCTATTTTAATTTGAAGTCATTTGAAGGAGATCTAACAACGTTATTTGATTGCGAAATGATATCAAATTTTTTGAAACACCCTGTATTTTTGTTTATATATATATATATATAAACAAAAATATTCCGACTGAAACGAAATCACCAGGCATTAACGGTTTAATATAAATAAAACACAAATACACGCATAGAATTAGCTTTCATTTGACCTGAAGACGCCTACCCAACTACCTAACAAAAGTAATAAGAAATAAGTAGACACAATATGTTATGTCCATATTATTCAATGAAACACATTTGAATGAATATATATATATGTGTGTGTGTTTGTGTGCATTGATATAATAGGAAAGAATTGTTAGAACCGAATATTTTTGTTTTTATTTTTAAAACTGTGCTCGTTACATAAGTAGAGCCTAGATTATAAACCCCTGGCCACACCTCCATTTTAAATCTATAAATGAGTAAAAACATTCCGTACAATGGTTATTCCAAAACGACGCTTGAGGATGAAACTGCCACCCAGTAGTTAAGGTTTAATATTGGAATTAAACTTAAATACTGCTGAAACATAGTAATTTCTGTGTCGCAATGGAATCATTTTTTTTAATTATATATATCACACATTATAAAATGGACAAAGTCTGACAATTATTTTAAGACATTTTTATGTTTGTACATTCATTTTATAGATACAAATAGTTCAGTAAATGCTCTGTTTATAATAAACAGTATTAAACAACATTTACCTGCCTGAATATCCGAGAAATTTTCACAGAAAATATTCGTTCTCCGACAGGATTCGAACCTGTATCCTATACGGAACCGTCATTTAGCTTGACGGGCCTTTATCGATTTGGCCACAGAGGAGCGTTCGGTTAGCAAAGCCGAATTTACTGTATTTAAACTTCAATCTTCCATGAATCTCTCACGTACATTCATATCTGCTCGATGCGTATCCAAATGTAAACAAATGACGTCACACATTATAAAATGGACAAAGTCTGACAATTATTTTAAGACTTTTTTTATGTTTATGCATTCTTTTTATAGATACAAATATTTCAGTAAATGCTCTGTTTATATAAAACAGTATTCACCTGCCTGAATGTCCGAGAAATTTTCATAGAAAATATGGATCCTCCGACAGGAATCGAACCTGTATCCTATGCGGAACAGTCATGACGTGCTTTTACCGATTGAGCCACAGGCGAGCGTTTCGGTTAGCAAGGTCGATTTTATTGTTTTAAACTACAATTCTCCATGATATATATGTAAATGCATCAATAGCTAATATGACACACGGATATTCTACAGAACAAATATTTGAAAAAATCCAAAGAAGAATCAGCAATATTAACGGTCCTGTTCTGGTGAATCGGCTTCGGTCATTTTTCCACCGCCGTAACGTTCCTCACTTCCACCCTGTGTCTTTTCTGTAAATACTTTCATGGTCATTTTTCGGATGAGCTCTTCATTATGGTATCATTGGGGCTAGTTTTTAAATTGTTATTATATACCCCACCCCCACAAACACACAGACAATGAATTGTACATATGGGGATTATTTAGGATTTTCATTGAGACAATGAGGTATTATGGTGAATGTAGTAAGAATGCGTTGTTTTGGTGTTAGGAATATTGTTTGTATGTTTGGGTCAGTGTTTGTGGCTAGCTAAGTTTAACGTTAAGACAGAAGACGACCATCCTTTTCTCCCATTGCCCATTTTGGCCTTGTGCCTCATTTCTGTATATAGAAGAATAAATTATCGCTCATTATGATACCTAATCATCGTGAATTTAAGTACACTACTAAAACTGGCATCAAGATCTCATCAATTTACAGTTGAACTGGCTAGATGTAACCGTAAGTTCTATGCTAACAGTTTCTTCTCTTGCACTTCTCGCTTATGGAACTCCCTTCCAGTTCCATGATTTCCAGCCAACGTTAATCTTCAAAAATCTAAATACAATATCAATCGCTATCTACTGTCTTCCTGATTACACTTTCGTCTTCCCGCTTATTATTAATGTTTGTTTCTAATTTTTCCGCTCCTTGTAACCCCTTGTGTTTTAGGGGTTTTTACTTGCATGGGGTGAAATCGATTAAAAAAATATAATTCTTGTTAAGTTGTGGCTATTAAACAAGTTGGTCGAACATTATACTGTAACAGTTTCAGAGAGAAATATGCTGCTCATTGTAGCAGGCCTCGTACTCATTTACCCCATCACTCCTATACAGACAAAGCCACACGCTCAACCCACACCCACCTAGACACTTCTTTGATTATCCCTTCCCACCCTTTTCTCAAGCTCAGTCTCTGACATTACCAAGACACATTCATGGTTAATATCGATCAGCTATTGTTTATTAGAGCGTTGCATACTTGGAAACGTTTGTGCTTGAAAGCCTGGGGAGGGATAGCTGCACTGATAAAAGCAATCGTGTGACTTTCGGGTTTTCCCGACTCTGAGTCTGATACTACGCTCCATGTTGGTCTTGACTAAAGCCACAAAACTCTTCCCTTCCTTCAAAAGACTAAAAAAAGATATCCACACTCCCTAAAATCCTATTAGGCAAAATGCGGACCGCCTCTCTTTGGAGGATTATCCGTTTGTTTTGACATGAGTCAGCGATAGAGAAACGAATATAGGTTACGAAACGAAAAGAAAATTAACCAATGAGAAAAGAGTGCGTCATATTTAAAGGCTTGGCACGTTCAGATTGAGCATGCTCGGTTTTATCTCGTAAGATTGTGATGCTGAGAATTCATGCGAACCTGATTACAAATATTCCAAGAAAGCAGATTGAAGAAACCATATAAAGACAAGTTCTTTTCTTTCTGCGTTGCTAATGATTCTTCTATGTGCCGTGTCCCTTCAGGATGTGGACGATTATGGCTCTCCACAACCTTCTATTCCTTGTAACCTTTAGTAACGTTTCTCTATTTGTCAAGTCTCCCACAGCCCGTTCTATCATCGATTCCTATAAGCTCGTCAAGTAAGCCTCCCGCTGCCTTCCATTGTTCATTGTGTCTTCGATATGACTTGTGTGTGTCGGATTTTATAAGCCCTCTATCCTCATTATGTGTCGAAGAAATTTCAGCTGCCTGTTTTCTGATTCTGAGTATAATAATTCTAATTTTGATTGCTTTGTTGTTTTTTTTTAAGTTTATCAACACTTTATATTTTTAGATTGTAATACCATTTATTAATAATAATAATTTAAATTAACCCATAGCTGGGGGAGAATAGGTGGATTTATAACATTCCCAAGGGTATTTTAGCGTACCTAACGAACCTGACTGAATGTGGAATCCGGCTCTCAAATTTCCAATTCAGAGCCGTTATCCGCTATATCGCCCTCGCTTAGAGATCGTGCTACTCCCAAGTGGTCACTCATCTAGCTGCTGACCAGGCTCGACTTTGCTTAACTTTTGTTATCATATAAGAACCGATGTTCCAAAATTTCTAGGTCATATAATAAGGAAAGAGGACTTGAACAAGTTGACACTCACACAGGACATGACGAAAGCTGGAGAAGCAACGGAAAAGGGTAAAATACGTAAAAAAAAATCTTGCGTTAAATGGCTGCTAGAATAGAGACAGTTTGAGATAGTGACAGGGACAAACATTGCTTAGAGCTACAATGAATAGGAAGTTATGGAGAGACATGATTTCGCACATCCTGATTGGAGACGGCATATAAAAGAATAAGATGTATTCAGTAAGCTTTTTCGTAAAAAAAAAAAAAGAAAGGAAAAGAAAGAGAGAAAAAAGAAAAGGCAGGCAAGATTAGCGTTTGATAGAAGATGAAAGAGTTGATGTGCCTTTTGGAAAGCTTGAATGATACGCAGATTTATATGTCTATAACAGTGATGAGGGGTGTCCAGTTACTAACGATGCTTGGCATTCAGGATAATAATATACGACAGAGCGGCTGGAAGATGATGAAGGATAAGGATGGCAAAGACAGAGAGCGTGTATCAGAACAGGAAGAAAGTGGTGGTCCTTTCTGGGATAACGATAATGTTGCTCTTTAATGTTAATGAGCCTGACGAACGGAGTTGGCAGTCGGGAAGATGACGAAAGTAATTGTAATAGATTTTCCTGACGAGGCTTATGTCATTCCCCTTTGTGCATTGCATTCTTTCTTTCTTTCTTTCTTTCTTTCTTTCTTTCTTTCTTTTCTATTCTTTTTCCAGTCTTCTACAAAATCCTTTTTCTTTCTTTCTTTCTTTCTTTCTTTCTTCTTTCTTTCTTTCTTTCTTCTTTCTTTCTTTCTTTTATAGTCTGCTCTCCAATTCCTCTTTCTTTCTTTCTTTCTTTTCTATTCTTTTTTTATAGTCTTTTTTTTCTTTCTTTCTTTCTTTCTTTCTTCTTTCTTTCTTTCTTTCTTTTCTTTTTTTCTTTTTTCTTCTTTCTTTCTTTCTTTATCTACCAATTCCTCTTTCTTTCTTTCTTTTCTTTTTCTATTCTTTTCCAGTCTTTCCTTTTTTTTTCTTTCTTTCTTTTTCTTTCTTTCTTTCTTTCTTTTTTCTTATATAGCTATATAGCTATAGTCTCCATCTCTGTTTTTTAGTTTTTTTTGTTTATTTGTTGTTTTTTTTCGTTCCCCTTTTCTGTAAAGTCTTTTTTTGTTTCATCTGTTGGATTTTTTTGTTTTTCCGGATAAGAGCGATTTTCTCTGGTCCCTTTTCTGTAAAAAAGTAAGAGAACCGGATATAAGAAGAGATTTTCATTCATATTGATACAGTGTTAATGCGGATAAAAGAGACAAACCGGATATAAGAGAAACCCGGATATAAGAGCGATTTTCTGGTCCCAAATTAGGACCTGTGTATGTATATTAATGTAAGAAAACCCGGATATAAAATAGACCAAACCCGGATATAAGAGAAACCCGGATATAAGATATAAGAGATTTTCTGGTCCCAAATTAGAGCCTGTGTTAATGTATATAAAATAGACCAAACGGATATAAGAGAAAACCCGGATATAAGAGAATTTTCTCGGATAGCCTGTGTTAAGAGAAACCGGATATAAGAGAAACCCGGATATAAGAGACTTTTTCTTCTGGTCCCAAAAGAGGTCCCGACAACCGGATCTCTTACATCCGGGTTTTACATCCACTGTATAGTATTTCTCCATTTTGCTGTTTTCTGTTTCTTTTATGCTTTGTTTTCTTTGTCGTTTTTTTTTTCCTTTTTTTTTTTGTTTATTTTTTGTTTTATTCTTTGTTTTGCTATATTCTTTAAATTTTTTCCTTCGTTTTGTTTTTCCTTTTTAGCTATTTTTTGTGTCCTTATTTATATTTTTTTCCTTTTCTTTTTTTTTTTCTTTCCTTTTTTTTTGTTTCTTTTTCTTTTTCCTGTTTCTTTCTTTCCTTTTCTATTCTTTCAGTTTTTCTTCAATTCTATTTTTTTTTTTTCTTTCTTTCTGTGTTTATTTCTTTTATATTCTTTTTCTGCCCTTCTTTCTTTCTTTCTTTTCATTTTCTTTCTTTATATTCGTCTTTTTCAAACTGCCTTTTCTTTTCTGTTCTTATATTTAAGGCGAGGCTTTCTTTTTTTCTTTCTTTCTTTTTTTAGCTATTTTTTTGTGTCCTTATCTTTTATATTGTCTTCCTTTCTTTTCTTTTCTTTGATTTTCCTTTTTTCAGTTGGTCTCTTTTCTTTCTTCTTTTCTTTCTTTTTTCTTTTCTCTGCCTTTTATTTGTTTGTTTCTTTTTTTCTTTCTTTCTTTCCCTTCCTGTAAAATTTTTCTCTTTTTTCTTTTCTTTTTTTCCAGTTTTCAAACTTTTTCCAATTTATTTCCTTTTCTTTCTTTTTTCTTTTCTGTGTTTGTTTCTTTTATAGTCTACTCTTCAATTCGTCGTTCTTTCTTTCTTTTTTTTCTTTTTTCTTTTTTCTTTTCAATTTTTCAGTTTCTTTCAATTTTTTCTTTTTTTTTCTATTTTTTTCCAGTCTTCTCCCCCTATTCCTCCTATTTCTTTCTTTCTTTTTTCTTTCTTTCTTTTCTTTCTTTTTTTTTTTTTTTTTTTATTCTTTCCAATTTCCTCTTTCTTTCTTTCTTTCTTTCTTTCTTTTCTTTTTTCTTTCTTTTTTATTTCAGTCTTCTTCCAATTCCTCTTTCTTTTTTGTTTTTTCTTTCTTTCTTTTATTTTCTTTTCTTTCTTTCTTTCTTTCTTTCTTTCTTTTCTTTCTTTCTTTTCTTTATTTTTTTCCAGTCTTTCCCAATTCCTCTTTCTTTCCTTTCTTTCTTTCTTTCTTTCTTTTTTTTTCTTTCTTTTTTTTTCCAGTTTCCATTCCTATTCCTTTCTTTCTTTCTTTTTTTGTTTCTTTTTCTTTCTTTTTTCTTTCATTTTTTATAGTCCCCAATTCCTATTCCTTTTCTTTTCTTTCTTTCTTTCTTTCTTTCTTTCTTTTTTTTCTTTCTTTCTTTTATATTCTTCTTTTTCCTCTTCTTTCTTTCTTTTTCTTCTTTTTTCTTTCTTTTTTTTTTTTTCCAATTTTTTTCTTTTTCTTTCTTTTCTTTCCAGTCTTTCTCCCTTTTTATATTCTTTCTTTCCTTTCTTTTTCT